CGTCACCTTGCAGAGCCCGGTCGCAGTAAGTGACTCCATAGCTGATGCCCAGGGCAGCAGTGAGGTCCGGAGAAGAGGCTGGTGCAGAGAGCCCAGGCCTCTGCCCCCAGCTTACCCCCAAGTCACTCTGACATCATGGGCAAGCCCTGTACTCTTAGAGTCTCCGGGTCCCCATCTGGAAATTGGATGAGATTGGTTCCAACAGCCATAACACAACTACGGCAACGTGCTGCCATTCTTTTCTTCCCCACTCTCAGAAAACTTTGTTAATTGAGTGCTATAAACAGAGAGAATCAATCACAACACTCCTCCCTGCTATACTCAAAACCAGTCTCAAAGTCCATGTCAACACAGTGCCTCTGTCACCCTCTACTAATGGATGGGAGTTGACCAAAGGCAAAATGAAACATCTTTGTCATGTCTGGCCTACGATTCTGGTATGATGAGCTCATGAAGCGGACGTCTCCTGGAGACTCTCCAATTCAGCTCAGTTTTACAGAGATAAAAACCAAGGACAGGGAGGATATACGATAAACCCAGGCTAAAGAGGACCCTGGTACAACTGGGGCTAAGTCTTAGACTTCTGTCCTCATCTATGTCATCAAACAGGCTAATCTAACCCAGAACTTGATTTCCAGGACATTCCTGGGTTAAGATCACTGGAGATGTGATGGGGAGTCCTGGGGAAAAAGGAAGGAAGGTTTCTGTCACATCCTTCCTGGGGATAGAAGTGACCTGGGCAAATTGCCCCTTCCCTCCTATCTCTTCCGAACTCCAGCCCTGGGCTGGCATTCACTTTCTCTAGACTGGTGCATGCCTATGTATGCCAGTGTACCCGACACTCAAGGCCAGATCCAAGTCAAAAAGGTGGGTAATGCTCCAGAGGGACCCTTTCTGTTCCCCTGACTGTCAGGCCCTTTCCCAGCCCAGTAGGGCTGTTACAGTCCTACCTCTTGGGGTTGGGTGGGGTTCAGGCATATGCCCTTGAGGATGCCCAGTGGCAGCTTGGGTCTCTCTGCATCTCCTCCTCTGCTTTCTCTGGGGATATCAAGACCTTCCATGGCTTTTTCATCTCTTCTCCTTGTCTTCTTTCTCTTCAACATGACAGTGCCTAACCTGGACCCCCTCTGGGAATCAGAAGGGATGTAACTGCCTCTGAGGCCTAAGCTATTTCCAAGAACTTCCAGGGGTGGCCTTTATCCCAAGCCCCACGACCTCGTCACTGCTTTCTTTTCCCCCAGATGCTGCCACTAGGCCCTCTAGAGCAGTTCTATGAGGTAGGTTGGTCCAGCTTGATTTTATTAAAGAAGCTGCAAGGGAATACAATCTGAGAATGTTATATTTGACAAGTCTGAGAAGTCCTCTTGTCTAGATCCTTCACTGAACATTGCAGGGCCAGGAATGAGGCAAAAGTGGCTCAAAGCCTCACAGGGAGCTGGGTCAGATTCTAGGACTCTGGCTCCCATACTGTGCTGTTTCCACTTCCAGTGCTTGGAATTGGATTGCAAACGAAGTGGCACTGGCCTAACAAGTGATGGGGTGCAAAGGAAGTTTTGGAGTAGAGATTGCAGAGGTAGCCAGGTGAGAAGGAAGAGTTCTGGGCCAGGGGTAGGGCCCTGGGTCCTACACCTATTTCTGCTTCTGATCCTTTGTCATATCTCTTTGGATCTCTGAAGGGTGAAAGTTGGCACTTTCCAGTTGCTGTGATTCTAAGGCAAACTGTACCTGTGGTCCCTAACTGATCTCTTTGTTCACTTCAAGAAGGAATCACCTTCTACAATCCATGGGGACTATTCTCGTGGCTCCAGGAAGCCATCGCCCAAGCTTGCGTTGCATCCCTTGGTCCCAACTCTACCAAAAGAAAACACAGAGTCAAAATATGAGGTAATTTTATGCCACACTGAGTCTTTGGACAGATGGAGAGCTGCCACTAATCTGCTTTTTCCTCCTTGCTAAAGAATCTGTAGGATAAACTATCAAGAGATTTCCTTTCAAAAATCTCTTCAATCCCATTCCACCCATTTCCATCCTATCACTTTCTGGTTCATTTCCTTCCATTCCCTTCCAATCCACCCCATTTTACTCCATCCCACATTTCCATTATATTTATTTTCACTCCATCCATTTCCTCTCTATCCATTTAACTTCATTTCCTTCTCAATTCCAGCTGTTTCCTCTCCATCCCATTTAGTTTTATTTTTCCATTCCATTCCACTCCACTCCTCCCCACTCCATGTCTTTCCATAAAATTCCTCTTATTTCCTTTTCATTTCTTTTATTCCTCTTATTTCTTCCCATTCCATTCCTTGTCATCACTTCCCACCCACCCCACTCAATGCCATTCCTTTGCATTCCATCCCACTCCACTCTGCTTTGTCTCATTGTGTTCTGTTCATCTCTTTCTTCTTTCATTCCTTTCCATTCTTTCCCACTCCTCCCTATTACATTTTATTCATGTCTATTTTTTTCCTTTTAATCCCACCCCATTCATTTCTTCCACATTCCACTACTGTCTATTTTATTCCTATCACTTTCCATTTCCATACCATCACTCTATTTCATTTCCATTCTTTTCCTTCCCGTCCCATTTCATTCCTGTTCTCTCCAGCCACATATTTAATCCACTCCATTCATTCTATTTCCTACTGTTCCACTCCTTCCTAGTCAGTACCCTACTTATTTCCATTTTGCATTTCCATTTGATTGGCTTTTGTTTCATCCCACCACGTTCCACTTCTTCGCATTCTGTATATTTCTTTTCCACTCACTTTATTTTCTTCCCATTTCCTTCTTTCTTATCTCTTCATTTCCCCTTCCTCATCCCTTCCCTTTCCATTCAGTTCTGTTTCGTTGTTTTCTATGTCCTTTCATTGCACTCTCTTCCCTTCTATTTCTACTTTTTAGAAAAAATTATCTTACCGATGTATAGTTGATGTACAATGTCGTGTTAGTTTCTGGTGTACAGCAAAGTGATTCAGTTATACATATATATATAATAGTTTGCATCCACTAATCCCAAACTCCCAATCCACCCCCCACCCTTCTATTTCTTGTTCATTCCTCTTTAATCCGTCTCACTCTGTTGTATCACATTCCATTCTGCTCTGTCAGATGAACCATTCTCAAAAGATGTGAATGTCTATATATCTTAGGGTTTTTTCCATAAGAAAGACAAACCCCTTGAAAGTTCAGATTAGTTGAAGTGTGGATTAATTGAGAGAACAGTGGGGAATCTCAGATAACTCAATGTCAGAAATTACTTGTGGGCCTCATGGGGACTGGAATCAGGAAGTTTCTCTCTCTTATGGTTGCTCATTTTTGCTGATCAATGAATTTGTTCCATTCTCTTTGGTCCCGATTTAATTCCTATGCAAGCTTCCTGGTCACTACTCCTCTATAATTTCAGATTATATATGACAACATCCCCTACTACTACTTAAAGTTTTCTAGGTTCACATTTTTCAGAGGAGAAGCACACTTACTCCAGCCATTGTATGGATTGTGCTGACATTTGTCAGCTCTCCAATTAGCTGTGAACTGGTACAAACATAGCCTTCTAGGCCCCTCTCTTCATCAGAGTCTGGGGAAAGGAGTCGCATTTGTTTCCTTTTATCAGTAGAACAAAAGCTCTTCCTGGAAATCTCACCCAGCGCACTTCCTCTTGTACCTTCTTGGGTCAGAATGCTGTCACATGGTATTTCTTCTTGCAAGGAAGGCTGAGAAAATGAGACGTTATCCTTCCCAGTCTCTTCAATAGAAGCAGGCAAGGGAGAAGATATGGGGAAGAGTGTCAGATCAGCCCCCTCAGTGTCTGCTACATTCTGAAGGGATGAGAAGGAGCAAACAATGCAAAGCGTCTGGCGTAGAACATTCTGAGTCGAGGGGCATCAAGTGAAAAGGCTCTGAAGTGAATGTCTTTGTTATCTGTTGCTGTGTAACAGATTACCACAGACTTAGTGGCTTAAAATAACACACATTTATTATATCACAGTTTCCTGGGTCAGGAGTCTAGGCACTGCTTAGATGGGTCTTCTGCAAGGCTGAAATAAAGGTGTTGGCCAAGTCTGAAGTCTCATCTGAGGCTTGACTGGGGAAGGATCCACGTCCAAGCTCATATGGTTATTGGAAGCATTCAGTTCCTTGCAGGCTGTCATAAAGAGGGCCTCAGTTTCTTACTGGCTGTCAGCTGGAGGCTGCACTTTTCCAAGTAGCCCTCTCCATAGGCAGCTCACAATATTGCATCTTGCTTCTTCAAAGCCATGACAAATGTCATGCTCTTATAGAACAGAGTCACATACATGTAAGCATGTACATCCTGTCACCTTTGCCATATTCCAGTGGGTAGATGCAAGTCACAGGTCTTGCCTTCAAGGGGAAGATTACATAAGGGCATGAATACCAGAAGGTGAGTACAATGGAGGTCACCTTAGAGTCTGTCCTCCACAGTGTGGAAGCATGCGCCATTCCAGGAATGGAGAGGTGCCAGCATGTGACTGACATACAATGAGAAAGGAGGAAGACCTTCAGAATTTTCAAGGATGAGGAAGGAGAATGCCAGAGAGTTTGGGCTCCTACAGCAAGTAGCCCAGGAAAGCCCACCTAGAAATGGAACTTACCTTTTCTCTTTGTGTAATAGGTGCTCTTGAA